CAGCCAAGAAAAATCCCTGGAAAGAAAGAGCGTAAAAGTCAACATCTCTACAGAAGTTTACAAACAGGCTTAAAACATTACACACAGGAATACAAATATGCTCCAGAATTACCACCTCCAGTATTTTTCACATTCAGACATGAAAGATGGTTTTTTAATGTCTTTAATTATTCCTTTATTCAAAAACTTGTTGAGTGAAAGCCTTTTGTAAGTGCAGCCTGTGACTCCACAGTTCTGCCTTCTGTGATCTGAAAGTTTTCTATCCAAAAATCTGCTCGTGTAGAGATTAATATGATAGCAACTGGCAAATCTTGTGCTCAACTGGCCAGTCCCTTTGGAGGCAAACCAGGTGGCAAACATGGTTATGCGAGAGGTTTGGAACAGATGATCTAACAGTCATTGCTCTTTCTTACTTAAAATACCTGGCTTCTGCCAGGGATGAATTCATGTGCAGGAGGAGAAACAGACTAGAGCCCATCTCTTCACACTGCTCCTGGTTCGGACAGGCCGCCCTGCTCTGCTGCTTCCTAACCACATTACAGATGCTTGTGGTCCTGCCTCCCAGGGCTGGCTGCCACTTGGACAGCAGTTAGAGCAGTGAATTAAACTGTGGAGGAAGGAGGGTGAGGACATGATACATAGACAGTTTTTTTCATGGTGGATGTGGCAGAAGCAGTCACGTTAATAGGTGAAAACCAGGTGGGAAAAGAGAGGGAAAAAAATAAGTAAATGGTGTCAATAAAAGTGATTGCTTCTTTATGATGCATGTTATAACAAGAAACTTCATCTGTTAACATATGCCTTTTATGGGAAGAAAGCTGCACTCTAATAGGCAGGAGACACGATGTTACACAGCTTAAAGTCTGCAGGTAATGTTTTTCTTTTTTTCCCATGGAGTGTTCCAGAAAGATCTTGTTGCAAAAGAAACCTTGACCAAACAATCAACTTGTTGATTCTTCATGTCTTCAGCAACTTATGTAAAATAAGTACAGACAAGCTTAAATTTGTAACAAAGGAGAGTAAACAGCAACTTGCTAGGGAATTTATTTAATCTATATATTCAAACTGACAGTCCTCTGAATTTCAGTCTGTGCTGGTTAAGAAAGAAGAAAATTTCCATAGGGCTCATGTTACTGGTTGATTCAGAATGCCTATTATAATTGTGAAATATTGGTAGGAATGGATTGAGATATATTCATGACAGTAGGTGGACTAATGGAATTCAGTGACTTTATTTAAAATGTGCAGGAGTTTATTATAATACTGTAATAGAAGTGTCATTTACCTTGACGGGAGGAGAGGGAAAAGCCCTGCCAATGAATAATAATGAAGTTATTTAAATGTCAACTTTCTTTCAAATAGTTTGCAAGATACAAATTATTCTACATGTTTCTAGTTTTGTTTTAATTTGCTTAGGGAAGTCAGAGCCTCAGTCCCACTGTTTCGATATTTTTTTTTTTGTACTGTCAAATGAACTAGTAATAAGTAAATGTTTATCTTCTTGGACATTTGCAGAAATCATTCTGCTGTACTGAAAAAAATGGAGGGTCTGGTTCTAAACAGCTACTGGTAACATTTGGGATGGATTTAATAGAAACAATTACAACTGAAATGATAGGACAGGTATGAAGTTTAGAATTGACTCTAAATCTACAATGTCCTAACATATCTATTTTTTTTTCCATATTTAGACTTGCACATGTATCAAATCTCTCTGCAGACCTTCCTTTTTCAAATTCATTTGGACTTAGCTTGTAACTGTACCAAGCCAAATCAAACCAAAATGAAACAATTTACACAGGGATTTAAATTAATTTGAAGCATGTATAAACACCCTCACCCCAAACAATTTGAGAAACCGTCACCACATGTGTGCCTACGCAAGAGCTAATAAAATAGGGCTTACTGTTCGCTCATTTACATATAGTTATTTCAGTAGCTGTGGCTTTTCAGCAGATGATTCAGAAGTTTTAGTTTCATTTTTGTGTTTTCAGCTCCACAGGTCCTGAGTTTAGTCCTTTCAGATGACTTCTCCATATATGTTTTCTTGCTCTGCGCATGTTACATAGAAGCACTGGAACTGAGTTCTCTCTGCAGAGCTTCTGAGAAGCAAGCTGACACACGAAGTGTGGACATGTTGGTTAATACATATCTGCTCCTCTTCAGATAGCTGGGATTGAATTTGTTGATCCTACACTGTCATTACTGCCTACACCCTGCTGAGGTCCATCTGTCTTTTGCAACGCTTCTAGGTTAGGCTGGCTTCCTGGATCACCAAAAGGCTGATCATTTTCAATGGGTTAGGAGTCTCATGCTGCTTTATTCACTCATTTTATAAGACAAATGAAGAGCTCATTATACAAGCTGCTAATCAATGCCTGCTTGTATACATATATACATGTGTGTATATATATACACACACATATAAAAAGGAATAAGATTAATGCAAGTTAATGATATCCCTGGGTTAGATCTCAACAGAGGCTTCACGTGTACAGTGTTTCATTCAATACAAGTATTTTGTTCCACTGCTCTGTGTGTGTGTATCTATGACCATTTCTTTGTGTTAAAGCACTTCTAGGTGCCTATCTGCTGTTGTGTAATGCTTGCCTCCCTGTTGAGAGTAATTGTAAAGTGGTGTAAGAGAAACAACAACTTGTAACTGTCTTTGTAGAAGGACTGGCTATTGCTAGTTTAGATGATGAGAGTAACATCTAATAGTAGGTCCTTTGCTTGTGTATTTGTTCATCTGCAAACAATGTTTTTCTAAGCTTTCCAATCTTCTGATTGCTTTTATGGATGTTGATAGGAGCACACGCTTCCACCTGTATATGACATTACCTGTAAATAAAGCTATGTATGCAAAATAATTGCCTAGAAATTTGAAGTAAGAACTGGCTGGCAATTCTGACTAAGATTACCATTTGCAATAGGCCTTTGACATTTGTTTGCCTGTGTTGTGGCAGGGATTCTGACTGCTTTTCTTTAACGATACCAAAGCAACTTTTATATGTCAGATTTTCTTTATTCCCGTCCCCTTTTGAAAGATTACATTTTGAAATCACAGTTACTGGTATAAAGAAGAGCTGCATTAGTTCATGAATATGTTTTTTCCTAACTCAGCAGGTCAGATTTAGTCCTTACATTCTTTTCATGTCTTTTTTGTCCAAATTTCACAAAGGATAGGTTTTGGTTTTTACACAGACCACAACAGAAATATTAATTTTTGAGAAGGCTGGGTGGTGAGGTGGACTGGGTAACGAAAGGAAACCAGCAGTTCTTGGCAGGACTGTGTTCAGCATCCTGTTGTAGCTCCCTTCACCTGAATGCTGGAACATCTTTTGAAATATTCAGTAACAGAAATAACTGTAGCAATATCCTCCTTCTCAGTCCACTGAGGAAACAGCTCAGTTAGTTTGTATGTGCTCCTGAGAGATATGACCTTATAAAGGGAAAAATCAATCAGTAGATGAGAATTTGACGTTAATGTTCTAACCAACAAAGGTCATGTATGCGCATAGGGGTGCCTATGTTTATTGAGAAGGGGGAAGGAAAAAGCTGTGGTCATAGACTATAGGTCAATTGTTATATGATCAGGACAGATACATGCAAATGCTTCAATAAAGTTCCTGAATAGAAAGACTCAATTTTAATGCAAATCCATGTTTAATGCAATTCATCTTCATAGGTAAAAACCCAAGCTGCTGCCTTCTTGTTTTATTCATGTACTGATTGCAAAATCTGAAATCCTAGAAGCTGTGGTATGAATGTAGGTGTGGAACCTGATCCAGAAATTTAACACTCTCCATGCACCACCAAAAAAACCCACACCAACAAACAACAAAAAAACAACCAAACAACAAAAATTGTGGACTTTTAGTGTCTTAAATAGCTTTGTGAATTTACCCATTGTTTCCTAGACAGGAGAGAACCTGGAAATAATGGGTGCCTAGGATTTACTTTAGAATGACTGGTTTTGGAGTGATTAGCAGAAGGGAAAATTCATGTTACTGCTTGCAAGTGAAGTTCTGTGTGAACCCATTTGTACATTTTAAAGGCGAGAATCAGATTTATTATCTGCAAGAATATGTTATATTTTTAAATGTGTCTGTTACGCAGATAAACGTTACTTTCCTGCGATTTGTGGATACCAATGGTACTGGTTTGGGTCGATTATCTAAATCCCATATTAAGGCTGTTAGAGATATTACAACATAATTCAGACACGTGTGAGCTGCATAATGAACAAAACCTCTGCTGATAATTGATCTTGGTTCCAGTCATGTTAAGAGTAGATGATACAGGAATCCTGCACAGTCTTGTTTGTTCACTTGTTTTGTTTTTCCCCAAGACATGTAGTCAGTGCCTCTATAGGCAGCTCTCATATCAGAAATATATTATTTTCTCTTCTAAATGGTGGCTCTTAAAGCAAGAATAAAGCACATGTGTCCATATTCTCTGCTAGTTCATATGAAACAAACCCATGTTAATTGTAAGTATAATCCTCACGTTATTAGATTTTGAAAAGGACGTCAATGTTTTTCATAGAAAACTGAACTCCAATTTCACTGAACAATCAGCTGGAGCAGCTACTTTGGAATATGCTGAGAAAAGACTCTTATCTTAACAAAATTAGTCTAAGCTTGGAGTATACCATGAATTGATAACTTCATTCTCCTGCTGTCTGCTATTTGGCATTTCTGACAATCGTTATCATCTTCTGCATGCAGAATTTGGCATTTCTTATTGTAGATGTTTATTTTTAATGCTTTGGGAAGATACTAGTTTAATTTTTCCTAATCTAATTTAAATGCAAATTATAAGCACTCACATGATGCTGTGTGTATATAATTAAGTATCATTATATCCTACATGAATCATTCAAAAAGCTCTAGAGAGCCATTCTGCTATGTAAAGCATGACTTATATTGAAAAGCCGCCAAGTGACTTGTAGTTTTGTGATTAAGTGTTTGTACTTATGAAATCTCTTTGAATTGTAGGTCAACAGATTATGGGACAACGTATGAGAAACTGAATGATAAAGTTGGCCTGAAGACTATTTTGAGCTACTTGTATGTTTGTCCAACAAACAAACGTAAGGTAAGTGATAACATGGTTGGCTCATTTTGACTTTATGATGCAATTTCTGTTCTGGTGATCTCTTCCATTTTCCTCAATATCTGTTACTATTTAAATGGATGGAAACCTCTTTGTTTCCCTCCCCTTGAAAAAATATGTAGCTTTGGTGAAATAAAAGCCATCTTGTATCACCTGTACTATCTACCAGTGTACTTTAGGGAATATATGTTAGCAAAAGATGGCCATTAAATGGATAGGCAGAATAGGTATCTTGCACTTAATTGTTTGCTTACCTTCTGGATGGTGATGATGTTGTTGTCTGAAAGTGAGAGAGACTCATTAAAACAGCAGAAATGCATCAACAGTTACCAGATTGTATGTAACATTATTTGTTTTTTAAGTGCTCCCAATAGTGAACTGAACAGGATTTGACAAATTCCTACAGAGAAAATGCCTTTCAAAGCCCAGAAGGTTTTAATCATGCAGGCATCCTACTGACTAACAATTTACTGAGAATTTATAATGCTGACATATTCATAAAAGGACTCTGATGCTGAATTTGAGATACATTTTTGACAAATTTTTTGTAATTTGGAGGTATGCAATAGGAAGTGATGAAGCACAGCTCATAGTGATGAGGAAGACTTGTATTCTCACATATCCTAGCATATGGATATGCTAGTAAACAATATCATGTTTAAAGATACTCCTTAGCATGCTGTTTAAAAGAAGGGTTTAACTCTTATATTTGGTGATAGACAATTATTACTACTGGTGTTTCAATGTGGAAGCTAAAAAGTAGTTTAAATCATCCTGAAATGACTAGCAATTTCATTGCAGATTTGCTCGTATGTTGGTCCAGAAAAAGATGAATGAAAATAAAACCAAAACGTGATTAGATAAATGGCACTGGTGACACCTTTGTCCTTTTGACTTGTTAGCTGTGAGGCTACAGTGCATACGCAGAGGGTGGAATGCCCGACTTCAGCTCTTTCCTCTACCAGAGGGAACATGAACCTGGCCAGAGTAGTTTTCTGTCTTTACTTCCTGTCTTAGTGAATAGTTCAAGTTACTCCAGACAAAACTGAGTTGCATGAGCAGAAAATGCTAGTGAAGACTCCCCTCTAAAGGAGGCCGTATGTATTTGGGCAGCTGAGGTCACTGATGCTGTTTTCATTATACTGAATCAATTTAAGACACACTGTGAAATGAAGAGGGAGCTGTCCTAATCAGAGAGGACAATGCTTAGCTTTGTTCTCTTGTAGTTCATATTTAACTTTTTGCTCAAAAGAAAGAGGCACTTCTAGGCATGAGTCATTTGACCTGTTAAGAAATTGACCCTAATGTCACCTACTTTTCTCCAATTGACTGTAAGTGGAAGTCTGTACTACCAGCTGAGGTGTAGACACATGACAGGGTATGCTTGATCCTGCCTTCTACTCCTCGACTTGAGTCTGTGAATAGTGTTTTGTTCATAATCAAAGAATCTTTGACTGACGTTCAAGGATTTTCTTACTTCTCCTGCTAAGACAGTGTTTGCAAACACTGGAAGATAAAACTAGAGCGGATTTTTGGAATTGTGCATTCTGCTTCCTTGCTACAGGCATCTGCTTCATGTGGTCCTAACAAGACAGCTATCAAGTGCTCTCTTAATGGTATCCTGATTAATGTATTGTAGCTGTGGAATTCCAGTCCTTACCTATTCTAATGAATTTAGTTTTTTCTGGAAGACCCTCAGAAAAAAAAGAAGTTGGATACCACTTACCTTTGTAATGCCACCCAGTTGATTCCTCATACCTACCTACATTGCTATGATTATACAAGACTAGAAAAGAGGTGTAGGGGTGGAGAGATAAATGATCTTAATTGAAACAAACAAGAAAAATTATGGATTCAAGCCTCCTGATGAAAGTCAGGACTGGAATTAAATGGTCTCAAATTAGTGGGCAGATGTCGTCTTATTGCAGCTGACCCCTGAAGAAGGTAAGAAACTTTTCACTAGAAGCTAAAGAATGAAATTATCAGATCACTCAAATGTCCTTCAGGTTTGAGGTTTGAAAGGTTGGGCTCCTGGCACAGAAACTGTGGCTTGGAGGGGGTGTGTGTGTGTGTGTGTGTGTATATATATATATAAAATCATGTCTGATGTTTATTGGAGAGGTATAATACTGTTCTTTAGAACTAAGAAAGGTTTTAGCTGGGCAAAATCTGTGTGATCTCTTAGCTATTATGCTGCAGAGAAACCTAAGGGTTCTGAAGGCATGTTAAGCCAATTTAGGTGCAGACTGGCTCTGAAAATACTTCACCACCTCTGGCTGCACCTTCCCACTCCCTCCCTCATACTGCCATCCTTGTTTGCGTAGCCATCTGGTGAGCTGGATAAAGTACGAATCTGCCTGAAAACTAATCCCTTTCCAGTGCAAAAAACAAATAGATGAAAGGAAAAAGCTTTCAGGTAGAAGGGTGGAACTGCCTGTTTTGGCAGTAAACTGCACTAAAGTTGGCCTATAATCAATATGGGACAGTGCCAGAGGAAAGCTGCAACACCTGGGATGAAAGGACCCATGTAAAGGTCTAAGACTGAATTTTCGAAAACTTATTTCAGCA